CGCACGTTCGTCAAAAGATGTCCTCATCTGTCTGATAATGCTTGTCTTATTTACAACCTTCTGTTTGCCTTTTAAAATTTTGCACATACAGGAATTGATTGCATATTTAAGATATTTCCGATTTGGACTGTTATCAGTGCACAGCATTTGAAGTTTTCAGTCGTTTCGTTTACTAAAGAGAAGTAGAGTAATTAATTGCATTATTGGTTTCGCATCCAAATCTGTTGTTGTTGAATCGTTGACAGTTGTAGGGCAAAAAATATTATGATAAACTTCTGAAACAATTAGTTGCTTTAAAAAACAATCTCTTTTGAAACGAAACGTTTTGGTCATAATTTTTTTGTTTGCCATTCTGCTTCATTCTTTTACTCGTAAAAATTAAAAAAAAACTCCAAAATTTTGATAAGCAAGAAAGAAGATTTTTGATACATTAGCTAAAGTTTTATAAAAAGTTTTTATTGGACTGCAACAGTGAGTAGGGATGGAAATGTAAACTGAGTAAACCTGAGCGCTCGGGTTTGTGCTGATATGCATGGCTCGTTATTGGAGGGCCAGTTGATTTTTCTGAAATATCTGCTGCAAGGCTGGCTTTGTTTAGTTACCATCTGTGAGGACATGATTAAAACAGTTCAGAAGATTTAGCTTACAATGCTGAATGTTTCTTATTTCAAACATTTAAAGAATTTTTTTGGTTTATATTATCAGACTTTAGCCTTAGCTTTGAGAGAGCTTGAATGCAGTTGATGTAGTGTAAGAGCTTATGAATTTTCAGCTAACTTGCTTCTTGACCATTTTTTATCGCGTAAGAAAAAGCTACTTGCAAAGGATTTTTCCAATTTTATTAGAAAAATGTAGCTTTTTTTTTTGAATTTTTGCTGCTTATTCGAACGTAAAGGAATCTTTGAGTTTATATTCTATTGAATTTTCTGTATATGTTTGGTAAAATTTTTTAAATGCAATTTTCTTTTAAACTTTTCGTATCATTTCTGTTCTTAGAGTGCTCATATCTTTTGCAGTTTTATGTGGTCAATATCGAAGCCATCTTACTCTACTTTTAGATTTTTTTACTATGTACCAATTAATTTCTTTTGCGGTTATCGTATATGCCAAATTTCGAGAAAAAATATTATTCAACCAAACTTTTTCATTGTACTATAGAATTTTTTGTTGTCACGCTTCAGTAATTTTTAGTTTGCTGAATTTTTCTATGGCTATACTACGGACTCCAGGAAAGACAGTAATGAACAAGTCAATGTCTTTAACCGTAGAACAGGTTGTAGTAGAACATTTTTTACGATGTGTCATGTCAAAAGTTGCTTATTACTGGGTTTTTTTAAAATTTTGTATTACTTTAAGTTAGTTAACTTTGCAAATGAGCACAAAAAGTCGTTAAAATAAATTATACAGTTGTTTAAATTATTCTTTTGAGAGAAATCATATTCCTTTTCTATCGACAGTATATAACAGCCAGTATATACTTTTTATTTTTGCAAAAAATAAAAGCTTTCAAATACTTTTTTTATCATTGCAGTTACTTTGGACCTATTTGTGCAAATTGTGCAATTTTATTTTGATGCATACGGTAGTGTTTGATTGTTTGGAAAAGATAAGTTATCGTTTTACGGTTAAACTGTTGAAGAGAGGTTTGACAGAATTTTAATGATTACACGTTTTTTTGATTAGATATGGTAAACAAAATGACATTTTTAGATGTTGGTTCAAATAAGACTTTACTGTGTTTTTTTGTGTGAAATTTATTTTCTACATTTTTGCTTCGGTTTATTTAATTATTTTTGTTAAATTTAAAATCGTTTCAAACAGAATAGTTTCATTTTCTTCTGTGTAGCTTTGTGTATGTCATTTTTTTTACAAGAAGTTCAACTCTGATTTGACTTTAGTTTTTCCCACTGAACGGAAGAGAAAGCTGAAGTGTTGTGGCAAGTTTTGCTTTGTGAGCCTGTAAGAGGGGTTAACTTGGGCTTGAGTTTAAGAGCAGTGCTAAACGCTAAGAGTACGAGGAGTTTAGGGCATAAGCTGTTGTCAGAGTTTTGCAAGGCGACTAGCGTATGTACCCGTTTTGATGCTCTAAGTGTTTCGCCCACCGACAGCCGTCGGCGGTGGGTATATCTGCGGGGATAGAGTGGGAGCGACCATTGCCAACACCGTCAGCATCGCAACATTTGTTTGTCACTGGCAGTGTGTTGACAGATACGCATACTTATAGGCATCTGAAAGCTGAATAGTTTGCTAAATAGGTTTTTTTGCTGCCTTACCAAGAAACTCAATTTTACCCTGTTAAATGCCTATCGTTACTTGTTCATTTATGACTGCTGCTGTAAAGCACATTTATTTGCCTATTAAGCCTGGTTAGAAAAAACGATTACTGTATAATAAAACTGACTTCGTAATTATACCTATAATTGAATCATTTACTGAATTTGTTTTTGATTTTTAATTTTTAATTCTGTTTTTTGTCTCAATCTTCTTTTTTTCTTTTTGTTTTCAGGACAGGACGGCAGTCGAGCGATTGCGGTCGACATTAAATAGCCTGATATGTTTAACTGAACAGAATAATGTCAAATTGAAAGAAAAACAGTTATTTTTCTAGACATCAAAATCGTGATGCCTCATTTGAAGGGTTTTTTGACTTTAACATTTATTTACTTTGTTTGTCAAACAAGTACTGCAGGTAAAATTTTGATCAAAAATACTGATAAAATTTGTAAGTGCAGCAGTAATACACCAAAACAAAGTTCTTTGAAACTATCAATCTTCACTACACCGATTTTTACTTATCGTACAGATAGAACACCAACCATGAAAAAAAAAAAGGAAATTTGTATATTCATATAAATATTTTTCTTTTTCTATGGATTATTAGTGATGGTTTATTTGAGTAATATTTACCGTTCAAAATTTTTAAGGCTTACAGAAGACTTTGACAGTTATTATCCTTTCTCAACCAGCAACTTATGATGAAAATGCTGCGGCAGATTTGCAAAAATCTTTATATCAACAAGCTTCAAAGATAAATAAGGTGAAAGATAGCTTTTAGCTGATATTTGCATTTTATTTTAAAAGCATTTCAACTAGTTCTAAATTAAATTTAATATCTGAATTGTCTGTACGGTTTGAAAATGTATTTTTTAAAAAATTTTTTTAGATGGTATAACCACCTGCAAGAGTACCTCTAAATTTTTTTTTCCAGTAATAGAATTTGATGTATTTTGAACGGTGAAGAGCTGTTCCATTTTGTTAACTGAATTCTCATCATTTTCTAGGATATCGATGTTTTCATATCAACCACAGATTTTCCAACTGTTACTGGTAGTTGGGCCGTATGGCCTATGTTTAGGAAGTTAGTTTTTGTTCTGCTTTTTTCAAAGGTTTAGAAGTATAATCTGTTTTTGGTAAAATCAAAGCGACAAGTGTGATGGAAGTAAAAAGAACTGTGTATTTTAGAATAAATGCACGTGTGGACAGCCGGAGTTTAACTTGGTTATTCATATGTGAACCGGGTACCACTGTCGATCTGATGAAATTAATGGGTCTGCTGCAGAGTTACCATGCCGATGGAAACTATTTCATTGGAAGGGCTTTAAAAGATACAAAGTCCCAGAACTTAGTCAATTTATTTCTTCAGTGATTTAGATAATCTCCAACTATTTTTCTTCTTACTGACAAAAAATTCAAAAAAAAAATTTCTTTTCCATTCCTTTCTTTGCTTAATTTTAAGATAAGTTTTAGGCCAGTTGTTATCCACCATTACCATGGTTTTAGCGAAGATGAATTACCTATTGAGTTTCCAGATTTTGCAGCTGGTATAGCTATATCAAAAGGTCTCTTTGTGAAGCTTCTTGACGTAATTTCTCAGAATTCGATGAGAGAGTTTTCAATTGATGCTAAACATGAGGTTCTCTTTTGACGTCACCGGAACTTTGACATTGTAAAAGGCGGAAATTTATACAACTCCAACTATGTTTACATACAAAATTCATTTTTAGTTAGCAAAACTTATAGCATCTTCTGGACAGTTGCTGATTAACAACCCAAAATTTTGCCTTCTACCAGACGAATCGCAGTGCATCACCAAATTCATACAACCATCTCGTGAAGTATATCACTTACAACCTAATTTTTCAATTTTTTTTATCTCTTTCTCTTGCTATTATTCAATGGAAGCACTGAATTTCCAGCGGAAAATTGTTAAAAATTAAAGGATTCCCTTGTATTATCATGGACTTTTTCCAACTAAAGACATACTTTAAGGTTTGTAAAATGACGGTTGGCGAAGATGATGTTATGTTTGCTGTAAAAACTTTTAGTGGATATCACAATTCAAGGATAGTTGTGGTTAAGAGAACTTGGGCTAAAGATACGAAACATATACGATACTTTAGTGATGTCGATGATATGTTTGTCCCAACGATCACCTTCGGGATTAACAACACTGAGAGAGGTGAGTTAACAAATGTATTTGAAAGGCAGTCATTTCTATAATCAGTTTCATCTCCCAATTTTTCATGTTTCTCTTAACTAACTAAAATTCTGCAGTTTGCGAGATGCCAGCAAGGCCCCGAATTGTTTTACCACTAATTGATACTGTCCTCCCTGAATTGTTATAAAGCCCATTAATTTATAGGTAAGAGTCTTCTAGTAGTTTTTGGAATCTTTGTTCTCAAAAAAACGCGTTCTTCATTTTGAAATAAAAAGTTAAGGTTTTCATTAGGTTACTAAGTTATGGAAAAAAATCGGTTTATTTTCGTGAGTCACATTGTAATTGCTTAAGGGATGCGACTTGGCAAAGGTAAGTATAAGCGCTTCATGCAGTCTCAGCCCATTCCGTGATTTTTGCTGTTTCTGACATTGGTGTGCAGCCACTTTCTTATGCTTTTGATCAGTGTCTCTGCATCATCGAATTTTGAACTTAAAAAAGTAAGAATATGTAATGATTGAATGGATTTTGATAAGGACTGATCTTCGTAAATCGATTTGTGACTACTTTGACCAACATTTTTCTAGGCCATCTAAAATTTTTTGCATTATGATTAGTACAGGTTATACTGGTTTACCAGTACTTGGCTTTCTAGACATCTGGAAAAGAAAAGTTGCAAAAAAAAATCCACAACTTTGCTAGCATTTCGCCAACTGCTAACTTTTTTCCACAACGAGAACTAACAAAGAAGTTGGGAACTCAACTAAGCTGAAATTTTACAGAATTAAAATTTTAGAGGAGGATCAAGGTACAGACACTAGTTTGTAGAATCTTTGCATTTAATCATATTTCCACTGTTTA